ACATCACTGAAAGAGTTAAGGATAAAAAAAGGGATGTGTTAATCCTGCTCTTATTGAAGTCTATGTTAAAATTTCCAGTGACTTCAGTTGGAGCTCTTTCAAGCCTTTCTGTATCCATATGTAACTATCAGTATGTGGTGTGTTCTGGATGAAAGTTGGAGGCATGTAGGTAGGAATAGCGTTCAGTAGGTTTCCGGTATAGGGTGGTGTTTATGTGACCATAGCTTATTAGCACCGTAGTGTCCAGGAAGTGGATCTCTTGTGTAGACTGGTCCAGGCTGAGGTTGATGGTGGGATGGAAATTGTTGAAATCATGGTGGAATTCCTCAAGGGCTTCTTTTCCATGGGTCCAGATGATGAAGATGTCATCAGCGTAGCGCAAATAGAGTAGGGGCATTGGGGACGAGAGCTGAGGAAGCGTTGTTCTAAGTCAGCCATAAAAATGTTGGCATACTGTGGGGCCATGCGGGTACCCATAGCAGTGCCGCTGATTTGAAGGTATACATTGTCCCCAAATTTGAAATAGTTATGGGTGAGGACAAAGTCACCAAGTTCAGCCACCAGGTGTGCCGTGACATTATCGAGGATACTGTTCCTGACGGCTTGTAGTCCATCTTTGTGTGGACTGTTGGTGTAGAGGGCTTCTGCATCCATAGTGGCTAGGATAGTATTTTCAGGAAGATCACCAATGGATTGTAGTTTCCTCAGGAAATCAGTGGTGTCTCAAAGATAGCTGGGAGTGCTGGTAGCGTAGGGCCTGAGGAGGGAGTCTACATAGCCAGACAATCCTGCTGTCAGGGTGCCTATGCCTGAGATGATGGGGCGTCCAGGATTTCCAGGTTTATGGATTTTGGGTAGCAGATAGAATACCCCTGCTCGGAGTTCAACAAAGCCCATTGCCAACTGTGTCCACATATCTATTCAGGGGACACCATCATAAGGCCTAAATCACATCAGCCACACTGTCAGAGGCTCGTTCACCTGCACATCTACCAATGTGACATATGCCATCATGTGCCAGCAATGCCCCTCTGCCATGTACATTGGCCAAACCGGACAGTCTCTACGTAAAAGAATAAATGGACACAAATCAGACGTCAAGAATTATAACTTTCAAAAACCAGTCGGAGAACACTTCAATCTCTCTGGTCACTCGATTACAGACCTAAAAGTTGTAATTTTTCAACAAAAAAACTTCAAAAAACAGACTCCAGCGAGAGACTGCTGAATTGGAATTAATTTGCAAACCGGACACCCTTAAATTAGGCTTGAATAAAGACTGGGAGTGGATGTGTCATTACACAAAATAAAACTATTTCCCCATGTTTATTCCCCCTCCCCGCCGCACTGTTCCTCACACATTCAACTGCTGGAAATGGCCCACCTTGATGATCACTACAAAAAGTCCCCCCCCCCCCCCCCCCCGCTGGTAATAGCTCACCTTACCTGATCACTCTCGTTACAGTGTGTATGGTAACACCCATTGTTTCATGTTCTCTGTGTATATAAAATCTCCCCACTGTATTTTCCACTGCATGCATCCGATGAAGTGAGCTGTAGCTCACGAAATCTTATGCTCACATAAATTTGTTAGTCTCTAAGGTGCCACAAGTACTCCTTTTCTTTTTGCGGATACAGACTAACCAGCTGCTACTCTGAACAAGGCAGAAAAGACAACTATGATCCTCTAGTCTGTCCTCCTGCATAACACAGACCACAGAACTCCCCCAAAATAATTCCTAGAGCGTATCTTTTAGAAAAACATCCAATCTTGATTTAAAAATTGTCTGCGATGGAGAATCCATGATGACTCTTGTTAAGTCATCCCAATGGTTAATTACTCTCATCATTAAAAAAATGTATACTTATTTGCAGTTTGAATTCTAGCTTCAACTTCCAGCCATTGGATTCTGTTGCATCTTTCTCTGCTAGATTGCAGAGTGCATTATTAAATATTTGTTCCCCATGTAGATGCTTACAGACTCAAATCAAATAACCCATCTTTGTTAAGACAAATAGAGTGAGTTCTTTGAGACTATCATTCTCAGGCAAGGGTTCTTACAACAAATTTTTTGGTGGCCTCAGAGTGTGGCCACCAACACTTGCTGGTGGTCGCACTGACACTTTCTCCCCCAAAACACTTAATTAACTTTAGGAAAAACAAACAAATATGCATGTATACACTCCCAGATCATTGTAATTTATTTATGTAGGGCTTTTTCTGCAGACTCAATAAAAACAATGATGCGAAATATTTGTATGTTTGTTAATATCACTTTTCACAGCAAGTCCTGGCAAGTTAAGACCTGGATGGAGGGGTGGGAGATGAGGCAGCAGAGGCCAGGGGAAATGGATGGGAGGCCCCGCCACCGCATGATCAGAGGTGTGGGCTGGCACTGGTGCCCTGGGCCAGCATCCACAAGAACTCAGGGTCGGCGCCTGAAGTTGCGTGGCCAGGGCCAGGGATCAGCACACACTGCCATGCAGCTGGGGATCAGCACCCAGAGCTGGCACCTGCTGCTATTCAACTGGGGTCGGGGGTCGACACCCAGAGTTGACGCTTGGGGTCTGTGCCCACTGCTGCACAGCCAGGGCTAAGAGTCAGTGTCCTGGGCCAGGACCTGCCAGAACCTGGGGGTGGTGCACGCTGCTGCATGACCGGGGGTGGGGATCTGCACCCAGGGCTGGTGCCTCAGGATCGGCACTAATGGCCAGCACCTTCCAGAACCCAGGGTCGACATCCAGGAGCAGTGTCCAGGGTGGGTCAGTGGCCATGGCTCATGGTCGTAGTGTAGAGAGAGGGGTTGGCTGCCGCCAGAGTTTGGGGCTGGCACCAGGGGGTCTGCGCCTGCTGCTGCACAGTCAGAGCTAAGGGTTGGCATCCAAAGCCAGCACCCGCCGGAGCCCAAGGCCAGTGCCGGGTATCTGCACCCAGAACCGGCAGCCACTGGAGCTCAGGGTCGGCGCTTGGGGTCGGAGTGCACAGACGGGGATCAGTGCCTGAAGCCACTGGCCTCTGGTGGGATTGGGGATTGGCACCACACGGCCAAAGCCGGGAATTGGAGCCCACCGCTGTGTGGCCAAGGATTGGAGTCTGAAGCCGCATGACTGGAAACCTAGTCTGAAGCCAGACTCCCTAAGTTCCCTCTGCCCAACCACCCCAGGGCTGAAGTCCGGGCCCCACTGAGCCCCCTCGTCCCCTAGTAGAGAACTCACCTTGCTCCTTCAGCATTGTGCTCCCCCTGTCTCTGGAGACAGGCAGAGTGGTGCATCCAGGAGCAAGGGGGAGGAGAGGCTGATGCTTTGCCTCCCCATTACTGCACAGGAAGCTGACATGGCTGCAGGGGAACCTCCTGGTGACCACATTTGAGAAATGGTGCTCTAAGGCAAGTTTTCTAATTTCCATCACAGAATGTCAGTGTTTGTTTGCTTTCATCCCCTCGCTTTAGTACTTATTCTGCACGCTGTGGTAAAAACATGCTTGAATTAAATAAGAACTGATGCAGACTGTCACAACAAACTAGAGGTGATCCTTTTCTAAGTTTCAAAACATACACACACAAATACTTCTGTACTCCAAGGTTTGACGCTTCTTTCCACTTCCTGGTTTGAGATGGAAACATCAGATATGATAGCAATATTTCTGACCCAACTAGAATCAAGAAGTGTCAACAATGTTACAAAAAAGCCTATTCCCACAGAATTTCCAGCATTTCTGAGGTTCATCTAGCCCTAATACTCAACAATAATATATTAAATTAGCAGTGCAACTATTGTGGATACTGTGACAGAAAAAGGCAAAACATTTCATAAAAAGTTTGAATTCATTTTAGTATATTTTTAGGCGTAGCTGTAGGGTATGCATTAAATAGCGCTGTGTTCTGTGCAATGTGCCCCTTGTCCAAGGATGAATTACTTTTTCCAAAGTGCTGTGTACCTTTTCATTATACTATTTACATAGATGACTACATGCTTGTAGCAAACTCTTCAGCTGATAAGGTCATAACAGGGAGACGATTGTAACATACCTCAGAGAATGCTGAAATTAATCAACTAAATATGCAATTACCTTTACCTTTCTGTATTATACTGTGAAATGATATTTTAAGTGTACATTAGCTGTATTTAGGTCTTTAATTTACCATCACACAAAAATGAAAAACAAAAACCAAAAAACTTCTACTAGTCATTTTAGAAGAATTGTTCCTAGCAGTACTTAAAAGTAACTGCAATACAAACAACCTTAGAAACCCTTTTCAAGATTAGCCAACAGAAAATTTTATATTTATAGCTTATGTATGGAGCTTATTTCAATAAAATACAATTTAAATTGTATTTAAATAAACTCAGGTGAGACTTTGCCAATAATAAAACAAGTTCCAAAAGTTTAAACAGTCATTAGACCATTAACATGGACCAGCAGCTTTAAATACTTGTTGTATAACCTACTTTTTATCATCGATGTCATATTAATTGCAGTGGTTTCACTGAAATAAAAATAGATTTGGACGGTAGCTGTTAGAATGACCATTTTATAAGTTGCATCACACATTTAATTGTGTCTGTTCCATAGAAATCTGATCTTTGCTTGCAGTTCATTACAGTAAATAAAATTCAGGCTTAAGAAATAGTGAATCTTTTCTCTGCAGCTATGTAAAATTATACAGTTAATAAAGTAATAAATCTTACACTCCAAGCCTCCTTCTCTTTGGTACCGTGTCCCTCTGGGATCTTGGTTAGACCGTTTAGAAAGCCATAATGCACATTTGGGGCCAAATGAATTAGGAGGTATGGTTAGGTTCCCATCTCTTTTTTAATGTAATTATTGTTATCCCAAGGATATTATAGTGAAGACTGGTGTTTTGTGATTTTTTTTTCAAAACAAACAAAACAGAAAAATATATGCTCTGAAACCGAAAGAAAATCATAATCCTTTTTGTAGAAAACCCATTCATACAGTCTAGAACACGTGTATCTGTGTGGACAAGTGCTTGCATTACCTGAGCATTCAGCAGTTCCTCACACTTGTATGAGTGTTTTTCAATTGCAGCTACGTACTGTTTTTCAATGGCTTCTTCTTGCTTCTGAACTGTAGACTGCAGTAGTGCCTGGAAACAAATACAGCAGACCAGTTTCAAAACAGAAGACACGTTTGAGTGTTTTTGACACACTGCAAATTAATTTTGTATACAACTGAAATCTGATATTCAGCTGCACCCACAGAACAAAAATGTGCAATTACTGAAGTGCTTTTCTATATAACACTATTTTCATGTGTATATCTATCTATCTTTCTTTCTTTAGCCAAGATGATATTTTTTGGTTCTCATGTTTCCTACACACATAAGCTGCATAAAAGAAGGCAACTCACAGAAGAAGATAGAGAGGGTGAGCAGTCCTGTTAAACATACTCAGTTTAGTGGGACCACACAAGATGAGAAGCATATGAAAACTGCTGAGAAAAAAAAAAAGCCAGACATATTTCACTGGCTGACAAAACTCCACATCCTCTCGGCACACTGTAAGATCCCATGGGCCAAGCATGATCTTCATAACCACAAGTCAACTAAAAGCAGATGGAAATTCTGAGTAGTTTAAAACATAAAAGCAATACCCCCCCAGGAAGTTCACACTCTGATGTGAAGAGGTGGAAGTCAAAGTGTGGAAAAGTCAAAGTACTAGGACAATATGAAAAAGATAATAAAATTAGGGACATTATACAGATATTTGATCTTAGCTGTGCAAAGGTTAAAGAATCTGTATGCAAAGGGAAAAAAACTAAAACAATCACAAGAAAAGCCAAATCACCATTTGTAGGCATTATATCCACCTACTTCCTTGAAGATGATGCTGGTATTTTTACCTTCACTTCACATACTCCTGTGCTATACATGTTTTCAATAGTATATGCTATTTATATGTTCCTTCTCTCTAGAATATATACTGTAGAATTTGTAGTCATAACAGCAAATTCTATTTTTAAATAGTAATCTGTGTATTAAACTACTTGCAATTACAATGTAAGTTAAAACAGACTTAAGATTTACAGAAAACAGATTTTTGGCACACATATGCAGAGAAGCAAAAAATTTTTGTTTTGAAAATAAGTTTGCTTGGTGAGAAACAATACACATTAAATAAGATGTTGAATAAATGCAAAAAAACATGGGACAAAAATATTTGTATAGCTTTTGGTCTATCTTCCGACATTTTCCAATAATTACTTTTCTTTTGCAAACATTACTGTTCTTCAGGATGTCTACTGCTATAACTCAGTAGCAGTTTTACTGAAGCAAAAGAAAAAAAAATACTAGTAAATTAGAAAAATGACAGATGGTGCTCGACATGAGGTTTAATCAAAATGCAAGAATAAGTTCAGTGGCTTTTCCACTGGCTTACGCCTGTCTTTAAATATAAAGCTTGTTTTGTAGATTGTTCATCTTCTGCACTGATACAAATTCAGACAATCACAAAAACTTAATTCTCAAAAGACTCCAATTTTTGCCTGAAAAACTCACAGAAGTCTACTTTATTTGGGGTCAAATCCCATAATGAATATACTGAAATGGATATAAATCAATGAGAAACCTTATTCAAGGGCTTACTACAGGAACAGAATGTCAGTTTGAACATTCTGCTTTTTATCCTCTGGACTAATGCTATAAATAATTATTATAATTAATTTAAGAAGTACATTAAAACATAAAAGGCATAAAAGCAAAGATAAATATAAGAAGTCACATTTTTCTCTGACTGAAGTCAACAGGAAAGACCCAGCTGACTTCAACAAGTGCAGGATGTGGTCCTAAATAAGGTTCCTCCCTTACCCCCAAACCATGCCTTCTACTACAGGTTCAGCTGAACCACTTGATACTCTTGAGTATGTAGGAGCTAATAGAGTTCCCCTGTAAATTATTTAACCAGTGGTCTGTCTATTTTCGGTAGCTTTCATTGAAAACAAAAACAGAAGTATTAGACTGAAAAAGTAACACCTGCCATGTTTTATTTAGTTATTTTTATAATGGAAAGTTATTGTATGTTCTGATAATAAAGTAACTTTGCCTCTTTTAGGGCTGATTTTACCAAGAATCTGTCTATCTTCTTCTGTGAGTTGCCTTCTTTTATGCAAAAGGTGTGTGTAGGAAACATGAGAACCAAAAATTTTAAACACATCCAGGGGAGTCAAAATATAATTTTTCAATATAATTTGGAAAAATGATTTTGGGGGAGGTGTTCTACTCATGAGAGAATGTACTAGCATTGCATTACACTCAAATTAGCCTAGTGGAGAATGATCACAAGTGTCAGTATCAGTAGATAAGGAAGTTTATTCAATAAAATATTAAATTCTATTTTTCTTTAAATTTAAAAGATGGCATGGAAATATGGCATTATACCACACTCTACAGTTGCATCTTGCCCTGCCCCCAAATTATACAGGCTGTTCTTAGACATCCCTCCCCATAGTATGTAGATTGCAGTCTTCTACTTTGTAATTTATTTCTGTTAAATACGTTGCATAAAGATAAAAGGTATCAGGAAATACTATGAATTCTGTGAGGACACTTAAAACTTTATAAAAATTAGATGTTTCCCATCCTAAATTAGTTTATAGACAGAGATAAACAGATAGATATAGTAGGCACTCAGATACTACAGTGTTCACTGTCTGTAGTGTCATAAATTGGAAAGAATATGCCCCCTCTGTATGCTCCTGAAAAGCCCAAAGTTTCAACATTTTGACATCATACTCTTTGTCTGACCATCTTATGTAAATATATAGAAACTTGACACAATGATCCTTTAAGGCTTGCATCATCTTGGAATGGTAGCCTTTTCTACTAAAGGTATTCATTAGCTTTGTGAGATAAATATAGAGTGGATATACAGAACTATCTATAGCTCCAACACATTAATGCAGCTATACTTCCTGAAAACACTAAAAGAATTCAAGCACAATTCAACCATAAACCACAGTAACACTTGATATTAGAGCTGTCAAGTAATTTAAAAAATAAATCGCACAATTAAAATTTTTTATCATGATTAATCACATTGTTAATCATAGAATACCATTTAAATATTTTTCGATGTATTCTACATTTTCAAATATATTGATTTAAATTACAACACACAATACAAAGTATACAGTGTTCACTTTATATTTATTTTTATTGAAAATATTTGCACTGTAAAAACAAAAAGTAGCAGTATTTTTCAATTCATGTAAGTACTGGTGTGCAATGTCTTTATTATGGAAGTTGAACTTACAAATGTAGAATTATGTACAAAAAAACCTGCCTTCAAAAATAAAATAATGTAAAACTTTAGAGCCTACAAATCCACTCAGTCCTACTTCTTGTTCAGCCAATCGCTCAAACAAATTTGTTTACATTTGCAGGAGATAATGCTGCCTGTTTCTTGTTTAAAATATCACCTGAAAGTGAGAGAAGGAATTCATATGGCATTGTTGTAGCCAGCGTCACAAGATATCTACATGCTAGATGCGCTAAAGATTCATATGTCCTTTCATGCTTAAACCACCATTCCAGAGGACATGCATCCATGCTGATGACAGGTTCCGATCGATAATGATCCAAAGCAGTGTGGACCGATGCACGTTCATTTTCATCATTGGAGTCCGATGCCACCAGCAGAAGGTTGATTTTCTTTTTTGGTGGTTCGGTTCTGTAGTTTCCGCATCAGAGTGTTGCTCTTTTACGACTTCTGAAAGCTTGCTCCACACTTCGTCCCTCTCAGATTTTGGAAGGCATTTCAGATTCTTAAACCTTGGGTCGAGCGCTATAGCTATCTTTAAAAATCGTACATTGGTACATTCTTCAGTCAAATCTGCACATGTACTGGGTCATCACCCAAAACTGCTATAACATGAAATATATGGCAGAAAACAGAGCAGGAAACATACAAGTCTCTCCCAAGGAGTTTAGTCACAAATTTAATTAACATTTTTTTTTTAAACGAGCATCATCAGCATGGAAACAGGTCCTCTGGAATGGTGGCCGAATCATGAAAGGGCATACAAATGTTTATTATATCTGGCATGTAAATACCTTGCAATGCTTGTGTGACGAAGTGGGACTGTTCTTAATGTTTTCTCTGTTCTAGGATCTCGCCACCCCAGGAATGTCTCCCCATTGACCATCACCTTCCACTCCCACTGGGGGTCTGAGGGGCCTGAGCCCAGGAAACTCCACACAGACATATAGGTTGGGGTCAGGAGTGGGAGCCTGTCCACCTCCCCACCCACCTGGCTAACGGAGTCTATGGCCTTGGGACCCAGCAAGGGAGCTAGACACCGGGGTTTTTCCGCAAGGTCCCCCTCGTTCAAATCACCAGCCTGCTCAAAGGCAGTGAGGTTGGGCATCCACATCCCCCGCCTCCTTAACCAGGGGTAACAATTTAGTATCTAGGTTCCCTGCGGAACTGGCACCCCGGGGTCTATCCGCACTCACCCCTGGGATGTGCCCTATGCCTCTCCGCTCCACCATCGCCGGTTCATGCTGCTGCTGCTTCTGCAGCTCTTTCTTGGACTCTCGCTGCATCTCACAGTCCTCTTGCTCTCTTGCACTCAGCTCCAATCCCATCCGTCTCCGATCCCCGGATGGGGAACCCGATCGTGAAGACCCCTGTCTGGTCGGGGACAGGAGTCTTGGGGATGCCTGGCTACCACTCCAGCTGCTCCCAGATCCTGCTATAGCCCCATTTGGGTCAGGAATCTGCTCCTTAGAGAGGTCATCCTCCTCCAGCTGCACGATTAACTGTGCTTTGGTGAACTTTCCAATGCGCAACCCTCTCTTTTTGCACAGGATTACAATGTCCTTCTTAAGGAGATGGTGATAGGCCATCATTTCGCTGTTCCCAAGTTGTTGCGGACTCACGGGCCTGTGTGCTCTCAACTCCCCATGGTTTCCAGGGAGAACCCCTAGTGTGCCAGCCCTTCTCGAGGTCACCACCTCTTTGCCAGGGTTGAGCTGCAGACTCCTCCGCCCCTTGGACCGCTCGCTGCAATTCCCAGGGGAATCCTGTTACTGCAAAAGTCCTTCTCTCTCCCAGGGCCAAGCCGCAGGCTCCTCCGCCCCTGAGACTG